TAAAAATCTTAAATTTTATTTCATTTTTTTTTTTTTTTTTTTTTAAACTTAGTTTTGTCATACTGTTTGACTGGTGTTTTAAATACTTGTTATTTGTGCTTCTGGTGGCAAGGTGTAACTTTCAATGTATGATATAATCAAAATAAATATACATATATGCATAATCAATTTATATATATTTATATATATATATATATATTATCAATAGTATACATGAAAATCGTGAATCAGGTACTTTTCTATCAAACGGGCTCCTACCATTAGCCAGTGATGTCATTGAAAGACGAGGAGATGAAGAGGGGGTTGACTCGCACAGAAACGTCATGGACTGGGTGGGGAACACATCTAAACTCGTCTGGCCATTTACAGTAAAACTATTTATCATATTGGCCACTGGGGAAAAAAAGTGAAATGTATTAAGAGAAATGTAAATAACAATGTTGATTGTAATAAGAACTATTGATCCATTTTTTTAAATTAAATTTATTTATAGGTGTATTATTATTAACAGCAGATCTTGAAAGGAAAATAAAGGCGATGGAGATTAGATGCTTCAGAAGCACTTTTGGCATCTGCTATAGGGACCCTATCTCCGATGATTACAGTGAAAGAAAGGGTTCGTCAGGCAATTGGGGAGTACGATGATCTACTGGTGACTGTGAAAAAAACGCAAACTACAATGGTACGGCCACGCAACAAGGAAACAAGGGCTTGCCAAAGAAATATTGCAGGCTACCACAAGAGGGGGGAGAAGAAGAGGAAGACAAAGAAAAAGGTGGGAGGATAACATCAAAGAGTGGACAGGACTAACACTGGGCGATGCAGTGCGTAGGGCTGAAGACAGAGACGAATGGAGGAGGGTGGTTCACATGTCATCTGTGGCGCCCAAACGGTCCAAGAACTAAGGGACATGAGGATGAGGAGGTATTATTATTATCTTCCGATTACAAAATTGAAGATATGATCTAAATTGTTTTTCAACATTTATATTTTTTATCAAGTTATTCGTACATAATGCTAACGGTCACATGTTTTTCAACATTTATATTTTTTATCAAGTTAATCGTACATAATGCTAACGGTCACATGTTTTTCAACATTTATATTTTTTATCAAGTTATTCGTACATAATGCTAACGGTCACAAAGACTCCCAGATGAATAGAGCCTTTTTTTTTTCTTTTGTAATCAATGATTTATCAAATGTTAAAGTGTTACTTTCCAATGAGACGATAAATCCAAAATTCAATACAGATGCAACAATTACATATGTAACGATTATTGTAGTTTTGATATTGCAAATGTTTAATTTCCGGTACGCTCCCAAAGAACATGAACACTTGACGGAACCACTAACATTACAATGTCCGCTATTTGTTTCAAATTTAATTTCATAAACAATTAATTCTATTTTCTGTAGAAGAAATTTACTTAGCCTTTAAATCTAGACTATACATATATTTTTTTTAAACTCTCGGCCCCATAGATGTATTCTTTTACCTCACAAAGCAAGATAATAATTTTAATATAGAACTATTTGATTAAAAAGTGTTAATTAAGAACAGACACATGAGGGCAGAGGGGGGAGACAGTTTGAAGCACGGGTCGGCAACCTTTTTGCGCAGGGGCGGATGTCAATTCTTTATTCCTATGGTTGGCCGGGTAATAATTCTGTATATAAATCATTAGTGGTCTCGAATGTAGTGGAAAAATGTTTTTTTTTTTTTTGTTTTTTTTTGTGTACATGACAATTATTATTAGTTTAACCATTTTACCCTCTCATTATTATTTGTCAAAGAGTATCATGTATTAAAGATAATCATTCACAATTGGTACAGTTCTGCCAAAACATTTATCCAGTTGTTTAGCTTTCTTTTTGGAAGGCCTTGCGGGCCTCGTTAAACGTTTAAGATGGCCGCTCGTGTTTCGCGGGCTGCAGGTTTCCCAACGCAGGTGTAGAGAGACATAAGGAGTATAGTATACTCTTTTCAAGAAGTAATTGTGTGTAAACTAAGTTTTAAAAGTGGGTAAAGTTTATGATATCCAGATCCACTGAAATGGTTTTAAAAAGTACAAAACGATTTGATTGGCTACTTGTTGATCCGACTCCAGCCGTGGTTTTAACTCCAGTCCTGGTAGATGTCCGGGCTGTGGTTGTCCCATTGCCTGGAAGGTAGAAATACGGTAATCTAACAAGTAAATATTCCTTGCATAATTTTTTTTTAAACCTTTTTTTAATTGGGGCTAGTAATCATATTGTGGTGTAAATATAATATAAATATAATTTAAGTATAATGTAAACTTAATGTAAATATAATGTAAAGATGTAAAAGTGGATAAAGTTATGATATCCAGATCCATTGAAATGGTTTTAAAGTACAAAACGATTTGATTGGCTACTTTTTGGTTCGACTCCAGCCGTGGTTTTAACTCCAGTCCTGGTAGATGTCCGGGCTGTGGTTGTCCCATTGCCTGGAAGGTAGAAATACGGTAATCTAACAAGTAAATATTCCTTGCATAATTTTTCTTTAAAACCTTTTTTTAATTGGGGCTAGTAATCCAATTGTGGTGTAAATATAACATAAATATAATTTAAGTATAATGTAAACTTGATGTAAATATAATGTAAATGTAATGTAAGCATAATGTAATATAGACCTAATATAAAACTAATTTAAATATAATGTAAATGTAATGTAAATATATAATGTGTATTTAATGTAAATTTTATGTAAATATAATGTAAATTTAATGTCAATATTTAATTTAAATATAATGTAAATGTAACGTAAATATAATATAAATATAATTTAAATATGATGTCAATATATAATATAAATGTAATGTAAATATAATGTAAAAAGATTATTTAAATATAATGTAATGTAGTGTAATGTTAAAATAATGTAAAGATATAATTTAAATGTATCTAAGTATAATGTAAATGTAATATAATATAAATATAATTTAATGTCAATATATAATGTAAATGTAATGTAAATATAATGTAATGTCAATATATAATGTAAATGTAATGTAAATATAATGTACATTTATAAAAATGTGGGGTTTGTATTGTTCGTGTTTGTATTTTAAAAGACTCACAAATCAGCTTGTCAGTAAGAAGTCTAGATTTGACTCTGAATTTATTTTATTTGTTTACATTTTAACTTGTTATTTTTTTTTTAGACCCAATAAATAAATAATCAAGCGCATTAAAAACACAATTAAGAAAATAACATACACATTTAACATCTTTCTTATTTACTTTTTTCTAAAGTCAATATATTTACGGGATGCCACATTTTTCTCTAAAGGTACGTCACATTTTGCCAACAATGTTAGTAAAACCTCGACATGGATAAGTTATTCCTTTTTTTTTTATTTTTAATAATTTATAATTAGCTTTCAATTAGTGACCGAACGAAGGTGATTTTCTGATTTCGGCCAAAACCAGGCCGAAAGTTAAAAATGACTTTCGGCCGAAAGTAAAACGAAACTTAACTTTTAAGTTTCGGCCGAAATCGAAAGTAAACCGAAAGTTGACTTTTCAGTTTCGGCCGAAGCCGAAATATTTAAATATTTCAAAACTCGTTTTCACACACGTTCTGCTCACCGCGAAAATGATGGAACAATTTTTTGGCAATTTTTATTCGTCTGGAATGACTCCCATACAATTTATACAAAGCTGTGAAACTTCTCCTCTTCTTTGGCTTTTACCATCCCATTGCATTATTATTAACTAATATTATAAAATAATTTAAGCTGATAAAAAATAAAATTTAAATTAGTATTGTAATTTTAAAAATTTGACTTGGGGAAGGGCAAAATTCATGCAAAATTCATGCAAAATAGGCCTTTACCATCCAATTGCATTATGAAATAATTTAAGCTGATAAAAAATCAAATTTAAATTAGTATTGTAGTTTTAAAAAAATTGACAGGGGGAAGGGCAAAATTCATGCAAAATAACTCTTCTTTTAAAATATAATTACAACGCGATCTATACATATAAAGGGTAACGATAGAGAGCTTAGACTTTCTATTATTTAATGGTATCGACCACTAAAATGTCCACACACGAGACTTGAAGAAACTCTTTTCGTCTGAGAACCCATTCATTTTTTGTGAATTTCGTGTTCTTATTGGTCGACGTAATTATTTACGAAACAGTGATACACACATAGCTGTGTTCCCTTATGATTTAAATTAAAGGCAACTTTTGCCTAATGATACAAAATTGAAAAAGTAATGATGTTTTATTTTTATATTTTTAAAATGTTACTAAAGGTTCATTACAAAAAGATTTTTTTTCACAATGCTAGGTACCTTGCACTATGAATACATTTATGAGCAAGATAATGATAACTCAAAATGTATTTCACAAATAAATGATTTGAATAAGAAAGGGGTTCCCAATTTTAAAAAAAAAAAATAATAATAATATAAATATTATCATTTCCCATTTTTTTTTTCTCTCACAAAACTATTAACCTTTCCTTTTGCCTTATTGAAACTTCATTTCTTAAAATATTGGACAAGTCAGTCATCATGCAACTGTGAACAGTATTCGCAATTTATTTGTTATATATTACCGATGACAGCAATACGTTGCGTTACAATTAATATCGGATGGCCAGCCGTCAGACAGAGTGACAATCTGACATCTGGTAGAAGACTGAAGGCTTCTTTCACTTTCGGCCAACCGGCTGAAAGTCTCAATTACTTTCGGCCAAAACCGAAAGTAAACCAAAACTTAGCTTTTCAGTTTCGACCGAAACCGAAACTAGCCCGAAAATGATCAAAAGGCCACTTTCAGCGCCGAAAAAAAGGCCGAAATTCGGTCGGTTTCTACTTTCAATGAATGTGTCAATTAAATCATTATGAGATCTATCCATTATGAGACCTACCTGGGTGACCAAGCATCACTTTCACCTGCCACTCCGCAACGTTGAACGGGTCCACGCCGTTGTCTGCCTTACAAACATAAACGTCCTCCAAGGCTGCTGCTGCCGTGAATGTCCGGCTGAGTCTTGTACCGTTCACTGACACAGGACCACTGAATGCTTTGCTGCCTGTGTCACGTGGGATTGTTCATAGAAATTATATATATATACATGGGCAATCAATTAATTATGTTAAATCATGATGGCTCCGATGACGGTTTAACCAAGTTAAACCAATTCGAACATGTGAGTTTTTATAAATAAAATTCGGCAGATATTCAAAATCATTACGTCCCACTTGTAACGAAACCGCTTTTTATATACTATTGAGGCTCTAGTCACGAAAAACTGATGCATTGCGAAATTTGTTTGGTACACAACAATGCAATCAGCATCCAGATATGGGAAGTAAGAATCCATGGATAAGTGAATGAGTTATAACAAGTTTTTGGATGACAATTTATATATGAAACTAGAAGATGGAAATCAGATGTAGCTAAAGTCTTGCTGACTGTTGCAGTGTGTCATTAATTTTATGCATTCCACCGCAATTTCATTCCAAGAACCACTGACATTTTCCAACCACTGCAATGCTCACCAAATCATATTTATAAAAATATATCCTTTTTTTTTTTTTTTGTTTCAATTTCTTGGTAGTACAAGTATTTAGAATAAATTTATAAAGCTTTATTGGCTTAGAGTGTTCGATAAAAACAATTTTTAAAAAAATATATTTTTTTTTTTTTTTTTGTTTCAATTTCTTGGTAGTACAAGTAGTTAGAATAAATTTATAAAGCTTTATTGGCATAGAGTGTTCGATAAAAACAAAGCATAACCAAAGCATAAAGCATGCCGTTCGGCGAATCGATAAAAGATACGTGCATCCAAAATAAAACAAATGCAGTCCACTCAAGTCAAATTAAAGTCATGCTATTGAAAATGCATTTAATAATTGATCAATGTGTTCTCAATGTTCTAATATTTAAATTGATGAACGTGTTCTCAGTGTTCTAGTATTTTCAATTACCGTTAGTCAGTCCATAGAGGATCATTTGGGGCGTGGGGTTGCCGTCAGCCTCACACTCAATCGTTACCGAGTCACCTGACTGCACCAGGATCAGATCTTCTCTACCATTTGCAACCATCTTGACAATGCTAGTCTGGTCTGTAAAGAAAAAGGTGGGGGGTGGGAGGATAGTCAAGTGATAAGTTATCACACACACACACACACACACACAGAAGCTGCAATCGTGGTGTTTCTTTATTGTAAATAATTTTTTTATTGACTTGACTTGTTATTGCCCGCCAAACATTGGCGGCGGACATGCGTGAACTTCCCATCTACCAAACTGGCTTGACAAAACATGAACTCAAGTAACGCACATTTAAGAATCCCAATTTTCGCTACAACTCTACCCCCATAATACGTCACTGCACACTTTTTATTTCACGAAATATATTAAATATTCTGATGTCCGAAACACTTTTAAACCGAATTTTGTTGATACCATATTTAAACTTAGACGATTTTATTTTCCCAAAGAGAAAAGATTACGCGCCAAATGCAGTTGCTTTATTTTTATAAAAAAATTATATCATTTAGCGTAGTAATCGAAAATTATATTTTGCGCACTATTGAACTCATTAATAAACCATATTTTCTTCCAAACATTTAGAATTATTTGTAATGTACTCTCAATACCAAATTCGCTGATTAGGAAGCAGTCCATTAGGAATCAGACCATTAGGAGGCAGTTCATTAGGAAACAGTCTATTAGGAAGCATACCATTAGGAAGCAGTCCTTTAGTAAACAGTCCATTAAGAAGCAATTCATTAGGAAGCTGTCCATTTGGAAACAGTCCATTAGGAAGCAGCCCATTAGGAAACAGTCCATTAGGAAGCAGTCCATTAGGAAGCAGTCCATTAGGATGCAGACTATTAGAAAACAGTCCATTAGGAAGCAGACCATTAGGAAACTGTCCATTAGTAAAACAGTCCATTAGGAAGCAGTACATTAGGAAACAGTCCATTAGGAAGCAGAACATTTGGAAACAGTCCATTAGGAAACAGTCCATTAGGAAGCAGTCCATAGAAAACAGACTTTTAGGAATCAGTCCATTAGGAAACAGTCCATTAGGAAGCAGTCCATTAGGAAACAGTGCATTAGGAAAATGTCTATTAGGAAGCAGTCCATAAGGAAACAGTCTATTAGAAAGTAGAAAATTAGGAAGCAGCCCATTAGGAAGCAGTCCATTAGGAAACAGTCTATTAGGAGGCAGACCATAAGGAAACAGTCCATTAGGAAGCAGTCCATTATGAAACATTCCATTAGGAAGCAGTCCATTAGGAAGCAGTCCATTAGTAAAACAGTCCATTAGGAAGCAGTACATTAGGAAACCGTCTATTAGGAAGTATTCCATAAGGAAACAGTCTATTAGGAAGTAGACCATTAGGAACCAGTCCATTAGGAAGCAGACCATTAGTAAACTGTCCATTAGTAAAAGAGTCCATTGGGAAGTAGACCATTAGAAAATAGTTCATTAGGAAACAGTCCATGAGGAAGAAGACCATAAGGAAGCAGTCCATTAGGAAACAGACAATTAGGAAGCAGTCCATTAGGTAGCAGTCCATTTGGAAATAGTCTATTAGAAAGCAGTCCATTCTGAAACAGTCCATTAGGAAGTAGACTATTAGGAATCAGTCCATTAGGAAACAGTCTATTAGGAAGCAGACCATTAGGAAATTGTCCATTAGTAAAACAGTCCATTAGGAAGTATACCATTAGGAAACAGTCCATGAGGAAGTAGATCATAAGGAAGCAGTCCATTAGGAAACTGTCCATTAGGAACCAGTCCATTAGGAAGCAGTCCATTAGGAAATACTCTATTAGGAAGCAGTCCGTAAGGAAACAGTCCATTAGGAAACATTCAATTAGGAAGCAGTCCATTAGGAAGCAGTCCATTAGGAAACAGTCCATTAGGAAGTAGACTATTAGGAAGCAGTCCATTAGGAAACAGTCTATTAGGAAGCAGACCATTAGGAAATTGCCCATTAGTAAAACAGTCCATTAGGAAGTAGACCATTAGGAAACAGTCTATTAGGAAATAGTCTATTAGGAAGCAGTCCATAAGGAAACAGTCCATTAGGAAGTAGACTATTAGGAAGCATTCCATTAGGAAGCAGTCCATTAGGAAACAGTCCATTAGGAAGTAGACCATTAGGAAGCAGTCCATAAGGAAGCAGTCTATTAGGAAACAGTCCATTAGTAAAAGTCTATTAAGAAGCAGTCCATTAGTAAAAAGTCTATTAGGAAGTAGACCATTAGGAAGCAGTCCATTAGGAAACAGTCCATTAGGAAGTATACCATTAAGAAGCAGTCCATTAGGAAAAGTCTATTTGGAAGCAGTCAATTAGGAAGAAGTCCATTAGCAAACTGTCTTTTAGGAAGTAGATCATTAGGAAGCAGTCCATTTGGAAACAGTCTATTAGGAAGCAGTCCAATAGGAAACAGTCTATTAGGAAGCAATCCATTAGGAAGCAGTCCACGAGTCACACCAGAAGCGTAATATTATATTAGAGATTTAAAAAAATAATAATAATGATGGAAGGAGCGTATGCATTTTGAGATACAGGTTTTTATTTAGACCAGATAGTCTTCAAACCGATACGTGTACAATCGGATCTTACCGAAATGTCCACTTCGTTTTCAATATGAGTGTTCAACGTGACATGTCCAGTTTGCAACATGACATTTAAAGTGTGAAACATGACATTCAATTCTTTTGTTTTGCGTGCCGGGGTGCCTATCAAGGTGATTTGAAAAAAAAAATTTCTTCAAATATGCATTTACTCTCTATACGTTTAAAGAATCCAGCAACATGAATCAAGGTCGACTCACAGTGAACATGAAGTGTGAATGAAGCAGTCTTGTGGTATAGCCCAGTCACGTGCTCCGCTGACACCACGCATCTCTGTCCGTCCAACGATTTGGCGTCGTTCAGCGCAAAGACTGCTGTGTCTGTGTTGAAGAACTGCCGGAAGGAGCCGCAGGTGAGGATGATCCTACTGACCGACGGGTAGCCGTCGAACACGAGGCATCGGATTAAAATTGGAGAGCTCGGTGTCCACACGGCTGTGATGTTGCCGCCGTCGTCCACCCATTGTCCTCGATACTTCACTTCCGGATTTAACTGTGGGACGTGTTGCGGTACTGAAAGAATGTGCGATGAACAATTTAATCATAATTAGCAAGATTCTTTCGTTAGGGGCGCTCAAGTTTAAGAGATGTATTATTTAAGATGTTGATTTGGCTTGGAAAATTGTGTAGTGTTCTGATTGAATAACAGTTACTAGGACTTAATGGGGTGCAATTTTGTTTACACCAGGTCCGGGTATTTTGAGACAATACCCAGTAGGTCTAAGTGTTATAACAACAAAAAATAAAAGAGTTAACTTTTCATTTTCTATAATATTTGCCGGCCTTTTAAGAATAGTCCTAGAGACAGTCCTACCCCCATCTGCTTGCCTTTAAAGAATAGACCTACAGACAGTCTTACCCCCATCTGCTTGCCTTTAAACAATAGGCCTAGAGAAAGTCCTACCCCCTACCAGACAGCTTTTAAACAATAGGCCTACAGTCAGTCTTACACCCTACCAGACAGCTTTTAAACAATAGGCCTACAAACAGTCCTACACCCTAACCTGTCAGCCTTTAAAAAATACTCCTACAGACAATCCTACACCTTACCATTGGCTCTTTATTGATGAATATAATGGTCACCTCCAAAATAATTCCAATTTAACTGAGTTCATTCGTCACGCATGACGCCTGCTGCTTTATGTTCCCCACTCAGTGCTATTACTATAAAACATGTTGAGTAAGGCAAGGGCCGATTGTGAAATAGAAGCAGGACACGAGCGGCAAATTATACATAACAGATAGTCAGTTTTGACGCAGTACCTCTCTGAAAATCTGAACTAAAAGTTATCTACCCTTGTCACGTGATTAAAATGCATTTCCAGTGTAAATATTTCAACACCAACTCACCGTTGTATGTCACGGAGATCACCGTGTGTTTGTTATACAGCCCTGTCACGTGACCTGCGGTGCACTCAAACCTGACAAGGCCTACCCCACGCACAGAAGCCCGGAAACCAGCCTCGGAACCCGGAGACGTAACAACTTGAGGACCCTCAGAGAAATGGAAGGTGAAGGTGATATTGCTAACTTCCGGTTTTCCGCCAAGGACGAAACAGTCGAACTCGATCACTGAGTTGTTGACGAAATGGGTGTAGTTGCCCCCGTTGACGGTCTTAGTGTCGCCCATGTATATAACCGGCTCAGCAGTTGGCACATCTGGGGGTTTAAGATCAGATAAGATAAAAATGATACTTTAAGATCAGCTGGGAGTCATAAATTGATCCAAATAAATATAAAAAAATTTGATTTCATGTTACATTTTCTTTTCACCCTAAAAATGATAGTATTTGATTATAGTTATAAGTTTTTTTTTTTTTTATTTTGTAGCAAAATAGAAAGATAATACAGTTATATATATGTATACATACTAAAATATCAATATATATTTCAATTGTAAAGGGAAGAGACGCTTAAGATTCGCTCCATTGTCCTCACAAACGCCCTCTCCAATGACTAAATTCTTTACCATGAGTTTTTTTTTAATGTAATGGATATTTATATAATATCCATAACATTAAAAAAATCATGGTTTTTTTTTTAATGTAATGCATATTATATTTAAGACTTTAAAAGCATATGACAAGCATTCAATTATTTGTGAATGGTATTTCTATTTTTAAACAGTTCTTACATGAAACGTTGACGGCGAAGCTGGATGTCATCCTGTAGAGGCCCGTCTCGTGCCCGGCGGTACAGAAGCAAGGGACGTCTGTCTTCTGGGTCACGGTGAGAACGAACTCGGCGATGTAGGTGTCTTCTATGGTAAAGGGGCTGGAGCCCCTGCAGGTTAAAGTTATGTTGACCACTCTAGGGTAGCCATCGAACACCTGACACATCAAATTGATTCTCTTCTCGCTGAGAAGGTCCAAGCTTACTCTCAGCTGATCGCCGTCAGCCACGGTCAGGTCGCCGTATTTGACAAGGGGCTGTTTTCTAGGCACGTACTCATGCACTGTTTGGATGGGGAAAGGTTAGAGCCCATAACAGAATTGTTTGGGTGGGAGAAAGTCAGAGCGCATAACAGCACTGTTTGGATGGGAGAATGTCAGAGCCCATAGGAACATTGTTAACATTGTAATTAGTGCCGGATTTACGTAACATACTCTTTCAATATACTGAATTATGCGTAGATTTATATTATTTTTTTTTTAGAAAATCTAAAACAATGTGTGGTAGAACGGATCTGGAACATGACAATTTTAATAATAGTTCAGGAACGAGCAAAAAATGTGGGGCCACGTATGTAAAGGGTGACAATCCCGTTGTTGATTTTATAAATTTTTATTAAAAGTTGTGGGTAATTCGATGATTTCATTTTGCCCCAGGCAGCACAAGATACGCCTCAGATTGAAAGAATGAATTGGATCAACAATTAACATATATCGGGGGGTAGGGAATAGGGTGTGCACAATTTTACTTGGATGACAATATCTTTAAATACAGTGATTTTACCGTCGTGAAGGAGAGGCACTACATTCTCTTTTAACAAATAAATATGTGTTTACCAATTAAGAAAATATAGATCTATGGCGTTAACAAAACGTGGGTACATTTACATAAGTATACACATTACGTCATCATAACGTGGGTGCATTTACATAAGTCTACTCATGCCTCAAACAAAAATATCAAAACCTTATCAGTTTGCACACCTGAAAATGTAATCTTAAAAATAGAGCCATTTTTTTTTCCTTTAGAATTCATGGGCGTTAAGAAGATGGGTTAAGTTAAAAGAAAACCCTCAGAGCTGTTACAGTCATGAGAAACGATTAAGGGGTTCTTCTTTAGATAAGATGTGTCTTTTCGATAATATAGTAGGAAAACAAGGGAAACGTTTGGTTAAATCTTTAATGAAGATATCAACATATCAAATTCCGTTAACAAAAAATATATTGTTCAAATGGTGTACATTTTTTTTGAAGTAAAAATAAGGTCATATATTACCATTTTTTAGAGATTTTTTTTTTAGTTTATGGGGCGCAAAAGGGGTTAGGGTAGGCGGATATTATATAGCAGGTAATTTTTCCTAAAAACTAAATTTTAAAGATATTACAAACGTAAACATCCTTACATACAAACTTCTTTTTTTTTAACGCATTCTGGTGAGTTTTGCAATATCCGGTATAAATTATCACAAAATGCCTGACATTATCATTGCAGTAACATCGGGTCATATAATCTAGTCTTCCTTTAAAATAAAATAACAGACAATGCCTAAAAAGGATTAATGTGGCAAGGTTGCAGCATGTCATGTTGCAATGTAATATGTAAAAATGTATAATTTTCGCAATGCGTAGGAGCGTTTATTGTTGATATCCACTAAGAGGCGTAGGAAGGGGTTGCGTGGGAGGCAGCCCGCCCTATGTGGAACTTTTTTTCTTTCTATGAAAGGACGTTATTTTCAGGCAACTGCATTATTTGGTTTGTTGTTTTGTTTTGGTGGCGGGAAAATTATTGTCCCGACCCGACTGGCACTAACCCCAAGCTACGCCACTGTATCCACTTATACCTGTAAAGTTGAGGTAAAATGTTGTAGTCCCAACAATCTTCTCGAGGACGTCCTTGACATTGCACTGACAAGCTGCTGTTGTCGTTCCGAACACATCGAGGTCGAATAGCCCCGACGGCGCCGGCAGTGTCGACTCCTGCGGGCGGCCACCTGCGAACCGGCACGTCAGGGTGACGTTGCGGAGGTCCGTACGGGCCCGCCCGACACCGCACAAGACAATCAGCTTGTTCGTGTTGGTGTCGGGCGCGGCTGTCACGTGGAAGGTGCTGCCGTTGGTCAAGCGGGTCTCGTTGAAGTTTACAACAACCACCTGGGGGTCTGACTGCTGAGCGCCTGGTAATGGGAAGCTCACCTGACGGTCTGACTGCCGAGCACCTGTTAATGAGAAGCTCACCTGACGGTCTGACTGCCGAGCACCTGTTAATGAGAAGTTCACCTGAGGTTCTGAGTGCCGAGCACCTGTTAATGAGAAGTTCACCTGAGGTTCTGAGTGCCGAGCACCTGTTAATGAGAAGTTCACCTGAGGTTCTGAGTGCCGAGCACCTGTTAATGAGAAGTTCACCTTACGATATGACAGCCGAGCACCTGTTAATGAGAATTTCATCTGAGTGTCTGACTGCTGAGCACCTGTTAATTAGAATGTTTCTCTGCAGTTAATTAATGAAGTCATGCTGAGACTTGTTATTTTGAACATGATTACAAACACACAAACAGGTGAAACATAAAGGTAAATGAACACGTAAACAAATCGAAAGACACAAGTTGGTGAACAAAAATCTGTAAGATTGCATACGGATTAAAGAAGATTTTAAAAGTGGGAAATAACCATATAGAGACTAAGGTTAGACAACTTGATAATTTATTCATGTGATTTTGTTAAAGTTAAGATGAAGTGGTGAAGAAAATAAAAAAAAGTTAAACTTGGATAATTAACTTTTGGCACAGCGTTCGAATCAATCATGTGTGCTTGATGCGTGAAATGATAATTCTAACTGCTATAATAATTGCAAGTGAATGGACAATCGACTTATGTATTAATTACCGCTCAAAGTCGGTCATGTGTGACGTATAATGTGGATGACAGGTGACGTATAATGTGGGTGACAGGTGACGTAAAATGTGGGTGACACGTGGCATATTACTTATCAGATTTAAATAATTCAAATAATTTTTGCGTGTTTCCCTCGGTTTTCATTTGGCCGGCTATGTACCTCTGTTGACTGTACACAATCTTCGGATTATTCTATGTATTTTTTTATGTATTTAGAAAGGGGCCGCCCATTATTAAATCAACAAAACATGGGCAAGATTGGGGGTGGGGATATTTGACAATAGTTGACTAGGGATTAAAAAAAAAGGGGGGGGGGGATTCAACGGGAATTGTTGGCGTCAAAAAATCATTTTTTTTCTTTGCTTTAATTGTATTTATGAGTGATCAAAAGACCTTCGGGAGCACAGGGACCGGATAGCATCACAACAGAGATGAAGAGAGCAGATATAGATACAATAGTCAACATGCTGCACCCTCTGTTTGTGAAGATATGGGAAGATGAGAGTTCCAAAAGATTGGAAAGAAGGATCATCAAGATAAGAAAGAAAAGGGATCTCAGCAATTCTGGTGATTACAGAGGAATTACACTGCTGTCTTTACCAGGAATGGTCTCTTACAAGATTAGTTTGAATAGAAAGAAAGACCAGATCGACATGTAGCTACGAGATCAACAGGCTGTCTTCCGCCGAAACGGATCATGCACAGATCAAATTGCAACATTAAGAATCATTGTAGAACAGTCCATCGACTGGAACTCCCTCTATATATAAATTTTATAGACTATGAAACGGCCTTTAATAGCCTAGACCGACAAACCTTGTGGAAACTTCTTCGACACTCTGGAGTTAGAATATGCCTATTCATCCTCGCCATTGATTTGATAATGAAAAAATCCACAGACAAAAAGAGGAACGGCGTGCTGTGGACACTCTGGGCACAACTGAATGACTTAGCAGATGACATTGCACTTCTGTCCCATAGCCAACAACAAATGCAGAAAAAGACGAAAGACATAGCCACCATTTCAGCACAGCTCGGACTCAATATAAAAAATAGCAAGACGAAAATTATGAAGGTAAACTAGCCAACCAAAAGCATATCTGGCAGAAAAGGCAATGGATGAAGTGGAGTCTTTCACATACTTAGGCAGCACCATTGACATACATGGCGGATCCGAGGCTGATGTAAGGGCCAGAATTGGAAAAGATAGATGAGCATTTGTGCTATTAAAGAAATTATGGGAGTCAAAGAAGCCAAAGATGCAAACCTAAGTCAGAATCTTTAACCCACTATATGGAGCAGAAACTTGGAAAACAACACCCAGCATTACGCAGAAAGTACAGACCTTCATAAACACATGCCTTAGAAAGTTCCTGAACATCAAATGGCCAAATACCATCACTAACAATGATCTACTAGAAAGGACATACCAAGTGCCCATTCATGAAGACATCATAAAAAAGACATGGCGGTGGCTAGCGCATACTCTCCGAAAACCCCCAGATAGCATCACCATACAATCCTTAACATGGAATCTACAGGGAAAGAGAAATCGAGGAAGGCCCAAGACTACATGGAGACGCGAGCTAAGGGCAGACACGCAAAATATGGGATACACCTGGGAGCAGCTGGAAAGGAAAGCACAGGACTGTGATGAATGGAGAAGTCTTATGGACAGCCAATGCCCGAGACGGGGTAAAAAGGCGTAAGAAGAAAGGGAAAAGACCTCCAGAGATTTTGTTGCAAAATATTTGTTTAATATCAATGGCTTTAAACATTGGCAAACGTTGGACATGGTCAGATCAGGTTACAAACTTATTTGGCCAATAAAATACCAATTGCTCCTCAAAGAAAACAAGACAAAAAAGAAAAAAAAGAATCCAGCCAAACAGTGAAATGTGGGGTAATCTATTTATAGATCCTACTGAAATGTGGGATAATCTATTTATAGATCCGACTGAAATGTGGGATAATCTATTTATAGATCCTACTGAAATATGGGGTAATCTATTAATGTATCCTACTGAAATGTGGGTTAATCTATTTATAGATCATACTGAAAGTGGGATAATCTATTTATAGATCCTACTGACATGTGGGATAATCTATTAATAGATCCTACTGAAATGTGGGATAATCTATTAATAGATCCTAATGAAATGTGGGATAATCTATTAATAGATCCTACTGAAATGTGGGATAATCTATTAATAGATCCTACTGAAATGTGGGATAATCTATTTATAGATCCTACTGAAATGTGGGATAATCTATTTATAGATCCTACTGAATTGTGGGATAATCTATTTATAGATCCTACTGAAATGTGGGATAATCTATTTATAGATCATACTGAAAGTGGGATAATCTATGTATAGATCATACTGAAAGTGGGATAATCTATGTATAGATCATACTGAAATGTTGTGATACAGCTTATTTCATTTAGAAGTTTCCATAATGCTCTTTTCCCTTTGTCTGTTTTCTTTCTATCGAAAGCAATGTGCTATAAAAGTACGATGTCTGTTTCACTGATTGCGGCTGACCGATCAAAGTGATGCCAATTATTGAACAGGTGGAAGATGCAGACATTTTAAGCACTCGATGGTTTAGACAAGCCAGGGGTGGTGTCAGCCGATTACATAATAATTTTAATATGTTAGACTTAAATTAGTCAATTGTTAATCACTGCTGCGGAGGAACATTTGGCTCATCTACGTGAATTTTGGCTCACCAACGTGAAGTTTCGGCTCACCAACGTGAACATTTTGTTTATCAACGGCAACATTTGGCTCATTAACATGAACATTTTGGCTCATCAACGTAGACCCTTGGCTAATCAACGTGAACTTTTTTATCATCAGCGTGAACAATTAGCTCACCAGCATGAATATTTGACTCACCAACTTGAATATTTAGCTCACCAACTTGAACATTTAGCTCATCAACGTGAAGATGAAAACCCAAAAAACTAGCAATAAATTCATAAACAATAATATTCAGAAATTATCAAACTTGTTTTAATATAAATTATTAAATACGAAAATGACGTCTGCCTTGGATTCGAGTTGTCACGCCATTTTTAAATTTGTTAAAGAATTTTTTTTTAATTTTATCGTTTTGTTTTCTCTGTTTAATTTCTATATTTTCAGCATTGAAAAGACCCGTCGTTATTTTATTTTGGCTATGCTTGGAAAAAGGGGGGGGGGCGTGAAACAATTGTCATAATTTAATTAGAGGTTAATTCAAAGTTTGACAGTTGTTGACAAGTGTGTCTGTGGGGGGGGGGTGGTGGAGGCAAAAGGGGGGGGGGGGGTTACAAAAATTTGGCCTTTTAAAAATAATTTTGCCTTTTAAAAAATGACATAATTAATGGATGGGCTCAAAGCTGTGCGAAATTTTCATGATCCCATTTAATCATGGCAAGTAATATAAAATTAGAACTTACCTTGGGCGTGTTTAAAATAAAAGTAAGATGCAAAAAAAAAAAAAAATCTTACTTGTAAATAAAATAAAGTTGATGAAAAGATATACTGGTCTGTAGGCCGCCATCGTCATAGCTGTTCAGAATATTCAGAGAGAGAGAGGGGGGGGAGGGGGGTTAGTTGGTCGAGTTCTGTCTAAAGTTGGTTGTTTCTTTGATGTGTAAACATGTTGTTTAACGGGAGATTTTTTTTTTATTTATAAAACCAAAATTGGTTAAAATATAATACACGTGGTTAAAAAAATATATTTTCAAATATTTGGTTGGTTGTTAATATTATCTATTTTTTTTTTAGAACATTCAAATTAAATATTCATCCTGTATGGCCTGCAATTTAAATTTCTAAAGTAATATGTGTTGAAATGGTATGTTTGCTAATGTCGAATTTTTATATTTTAAAAAAAAGACACAAATTTTCTTAATCAGAGTGTAGGTGTAGGAATAAACAGGCATTTTATTTGTATTCTCACCTTGCAAGATATTTTCCGTTTTTTTTTGTTGTTTTTTTCTAATGTAAAAAGACAACTAAAATGGTACAATTTTTTGTCAGTATACTTCCATGCTAACTTCCAAGAATTACAATTTTTGAAAAAATGTTATATCTGGTGACTTTCGGTTACAATCTTAGTTTTTATTCGTTGCTTTTTTTTTCTTTAATTTTTTTTTTTTTTTTTTAAAAGTTCACCCAGCCAATGAAATGCAGTGAAAACGCACGCGTGATATTCAGTGAGGATTACTCGGCAACACCGTCTTTCATCACATACAATGTCCTTTCTTTTGATAACAGCAACAAAGATGACATACAGTTTTCAAGTGGTCTCTTTTTTTTTTAAAAATGGTGTGGCCCTTTTTTTTTTTGTTAAGAGGGATCACCAGATCACGTGACCAGCCCACACCTACCCCGGAGATAAGACACCTTTCATAACTTTTTTTTTTTTTATCTTTGGCTAATTCGGGGGAAAAAAATGTCTTTTTA